TTTCCAAATGAACTGCTGACCAGATATTATTAGTTTCTCAAGGCTTACTTGAGAAACTACTACTACTACTTACACTACTACTTAGTAGTATAAGATTCTAATTTCTTTAGAAATTCACTGGCAAATGCTCCTCAAATGAGAATTATTATCAACTAGTATCTTATCTAGTGCTTTTACTTGTTGCATATACCTCCCTCTCTCTCCTTCAGTTCTTACTAACACAGGTCAATATAGCAAAATTGCACACTTGATAAAAGACCACCTTCTTGGATTTCTCACTAATCTGGAGTTCCTTGTATGATTATTTACAGCACCAGTCATCTTTGGTGATATCCAATTTGCTGAACATCATTCTGTATCATTTTTCACTTTACAACCCCACATTCAAAAACTCTTTAGATCTGACTACTCTTTATTTGGCACTTTTAAATTTTTTGTTTATTTTTACAGTCCTCTTCAATTTTGAACACCTCCTTCCCTTGCTTTTATATCTCTACTGGCTTCTTTAATTTTGCCAGGATCTTTCAACTTCCTCTCTTCCAAGAGCTGTCTGGCTTTAATATTTTTTTAATCTAGCAATAAACATTTTCACTACCTTTAACTTTTCCTTCTGAAAATATTAAAACATGAAATTAGTGAATAAATTTCCCTATAACCATCCTATGATAAGAATAAAAGGAATTCCATTCATTTGGTAATTAAAGAAGTTCTATAACATATTCGGTACACAAAGTCAGATATCTAAGACAAGACTTGGGACTACAGAACTTAGGCAAGCCAATTCTAAACACATTACGATTTCCATCATACCAAAAATCTCTACCCTCCTGATTCCCCAAACATTTTCTAATCTCAACAACTGCAAACAAACCACTTCTTTTATCTTCACAAAAGGATCATTAGCAGTTCAAGGAATTGGTTGATGAATTATTAGCAATATAATTTTAAACGTGATACAAAAAGAAGGAATAGACAAAGCAACTGAACAGAAGAGAGTCGAGAAACAACCTCAAACATACAGGGGAATGTATTATATAATAAAGGTGACCTTTCAAACCAGCGGAGAAAAGGTGAATTATTCAATCAATGGTATGAGAATACATGGTTAGTCATTTGGAAAAAAATAAAAAGCTACATTCCCACATCACTCTTTACACTAAAATAACTCCCACAGGAATCAAAATCCAAATGTAAATTGTAGATGAAAATACAGCTACATTCATGTAGAGTTATAACCTTTGAGGGGGAAATACCTATCTAGACATAACTAAATGCAGAAGCCATAAAGAAAAAAGTCAATAAGAGTATACAGACATTTTAAATTTCTATAAGGCTTAAAAAAGACTATAAAACAAGGAAGGAAGAAACAGACAAATGACAACCTGGGGGAAAATATTTGCAACAAATATGACATATGGCCAATTATCATGATATAAAGAGCTTCTACAAATCAATAAGGAAAGAAAAGTGAGAAAAAGAGATGAACAAGTGATCGGAATAGGAAAAAGAAATATAAATGGGCTATAAACATATGAAGTTACTCAACCTCATGAATAAAAATACAATTTAAAATAATAAGACACCATTTTTATCTAGCAGTCTGACAAATATTTTAAAGTTGCCAAAACCCAACTTCCTCAATACTTGAGGATACGGGGAAATAGAGACACTCACACACTGCTGGTAGGAGTGAAAAGTGGTACTCTTTTGAAAGGGCATTTGACAGTAACTACTATAAACAAATTTAAAATACATACATTTGTTTCAAGAATGTATGTAAGTAAAACAAAATTAGACATGATCTGAAAGTCCAAGAACAGGAAAGGGGCAAATAAAAAAGATATGGTACATACGATTCAACAGAATTTAGTAGTTAAAGTCCATGACATTAAAAGAAAACACGGTACAGAACAACAGGTTAAGTATGACACTATTTGTGTAAATGAAAATGAAGAACATAAACAAATAAATGCTGATATTGGCATACAAATTTTTGGGAAGGACAGACCAGAAATTTAACTTCAGTTATTTCTTGAGTGGAGGACTAAGAGCAAAGAGAAGTATTTGCTTTTTAAACCTTTTCACGCCATGGATTATATTTTTTACCATGGGCGTTTTACTTAAAAACAGAATTTAAAAAATAAAGAACAGTTTAAATACTCCATAAACATTGCTTTTGACTGAAGAAATACAACTAACATATATTGAACATCTACTATATGGCAAGTTTTCTAGCAGAGACTGGGTCTTAAGCAAATAACTATTCAACTATAATAAATGAGAAATCCAACTTTCTTTCTACAACTTTTTTTCTTTCTACAATTTCTTTTAAATTCTATTTATTCTACATACAGGTAGCTCCTTTTTCACAAAGTGAAAGAGTACTGTTTTTTTCTCACTCACTCACTCCCAATCCCTTAATATTAAGAATTATTCCCAGGTAACAAATAAATTCTCCCAGGAAATACTTGGTTCCTTGAAAGTTTTCCACCCAATTTATTATCCCGTAGCTAAAGGAAATGATTTAAATAAATTAAGAATGACTTAGTTGTTAAACTAAAATAAGAGTGAATTTAACAATGAATTAGGTTCTAACAGAAAACGTGGGCTCAAGACACTTAGTTTACCAACAAATAACGTATGTTAATGAATGGTTACAGTCAAGTCACAACTCCTCAAGTCCACATTTCCTCATATATGAACACTATCAATTTCACAAGGGTGTCGTGAGCAAATTCAACACTGATATTTATTCTTTGTCTTTAGAGATGAAGTGATAAATAGCCTATATTTAAGAAAAGCAAAGGAAACCTACTTAACAGAGAAGATTAGTATTACATTTTTAAAATTTAACTCAAGTATATATTGTATTTGTAAACTTCATTCTGAGAAGTTCACCAAATTCAGTTATATTTTGTAATTTCCTTGAAATATGTAACTGTGAACCCACAGAGCGAGGAACACAGTCGAGGGAGTTCAGGAATACAAATGCCTGTGCTTCTCCCTACCACCCATTTCACTGCATTTAAGATTAACTACCACTCAGATTCTGCTGCCTCATTCATCTTTCTACCTTCTCCACCACCACTTAGCCCAGTGAATACTTCTGCTGGATCTCTTCCTCATCTCTTCTCTCAAAGTACTCAAATGGTTTCACTTTCCTACCCATTTCTTTGACTATGTACCACAATGAAAGTTCTGCATGCAAATAAAGATATAACAAAAAAAAATCTACAGAGAACACATTGTTTTTTCCAGAGCAGATGCAAAGTAAATGTTTATTAAAATCTTTTCTTTTCCCCAAATAAGCCATGCACTAATACCACAGTCCATAATTCAAGACAGGATAACTATATTAACTCTACAGAAACTAGCATATACTCTCGGAATACTACTACTTGGTAAACAATAAAGAGAAAATTTCATTCTCCCCCATTTTCACATCAACATATTATTTTCAAAGAGTCAAGCATTGTAACTAATAAGCAACCCACAATATGCAAAAGAAGGAAGGAGGGAAGAACCAAGGAAAGATACTTCAAGATTATCAAGTACATTTCTAGCCACTATTCCGTCCTCTAGCATGAATAATCGTCAATCTCAAGAGAAATAAAACCCTAAAATACTAAACGAGATACAATCTCAAAATACTCTATAACGTACCACATACCAGACTAAAATAAATAGTGAGCCTTTATGTTCAAAACATTTCCTTAAAATTGTCCCTAAGAATGGAGACTAGTGTTTCATTCTTAACACTTCCAAACAATTCCTCTGTAAGTTTTTCCAACTCAATATTCAACTAAGTTTTTGTTTTCAAACTTTGAATATACAAGAGGGGGAGAATGTATGAAAAATGAAGGAAAAATACTGTAGGATTTTCCTTAAATGTGTAACACAAACATATGTAAGTCAGATTTAGATATCAACACAGATCCAAAGTATACCTTTTACTTTTATAAGCAATATAAATTCTATCATGAAGTGAATTCTCTTTGAATGTATCAGTAAAATCTATGATTGTTTTAATACACCCATTTTTAGATTTTAACTACAGTGGCTCCCTTAACTGACCTGCCTTAGCGAACACCTTTTTTTGCCTTCTATTAAATACGCCATGGCATGCTGACCGCTCTCGACTAGTATGCTATTCTTACCGTATTCAGACACTAGTTAAGTTATACGTTTAATAAGTCCGTTGGTTTGTTCTCAAACCTGTTTATGCCAGTTTACTTGCTGTAGTCCTTACATAACTTAAAACACTGTGTAAGTCTATGGAATACAAGTGCAAGAAGACAGCTGTTTCTATGTAAACTAAGTTGAATGCAAACTAAGTAGAATGACTCAATAGAAGGTGAGTCATTCTTCGAAAGATATTGAGTAAGATAAAGGTGAGACATTTGTAAAATATTAGAGAAAATCACTAAAAGCCAGAAAAAACCCTATATTTAGGGTTTTTCAAAGGTATCTTTAAGCTTTTATTCCACTTCAGAGAAATCAAAACTGGAAATCACAAACCATGCATTATGGATATAGTTTACACAAGAACAACTTCTCTCAATTCTGCATTCAGATATGGCATCAGCTCTACACCAAAAAGTTGGCAAACGAATATAGATTTATACATTTTAAGTTAAAAATTTTAAAGTTAAAATATGTATGTTTTTAAACTTTCCTGCTTTAACTTTTCCAATAACCTACAAGTAGCTGTCCCAAACTCATTAGATATGAAGCCTTCTAACATCTTTTTTTCTGAAGCCCCTGTTTAAGGGCTTGCTATACCAACTACATAAATACCACATGTCTATATAAAATAATAGTATGTAGTAATAAACACTTTAAAATAACTTTATGAAAAAACGTACTACACTCTTTGCTCCACAAGGACAAGGATCTTTATCCATTTTGTTCATAGATGGATCCCAAGCACCTAAAACAGTTCCTGGTATATAGCTGATGCTCAATAAATATTTGTTGAATGAAGGAGAACAGGAACTTACCGTGATGACAGCCTTGTGAATACAGATCACTCCTCTGCAGCCATATTCTGCCTCATCTTCAGATTTGTAGTAACTCAGAGTATTATTTTTCAAAACTACCCAACGATCCTGCCACCCACGAATGTAGTTTGTCCACTGGGGGTAAGAGGGGAAGGAGGGCAGAGAAAAACAAAAAATAAAAAGTTCAGTATTTTAGAAATCCAAACTTTCTGAAATAGCAATCAATCTAATTTTAAAACCAAAATGCGAAAAGTTCTAACTTGATTATAAACAGTAAAAATGATTATAAAAAATGAAAAGCTGAGATTTTCTGGCTTATATAATGGTTTTCAGTAATCCTTACAAAATTATAAATAAAATAAATAAATAGATAAATAAAATATAAGATTTTCTTCTAACATTTGAGGAATAAAACTGAGGCAGATTTCAGTTAAAACCTTTGCTTCGTTCTTTGTGTGCTTTCATTCTTCCTCCTCACCACCTTCATGACATTTAAATTGTTTTGGTCCCTGCCATAATTAACATATTCAATAGAAAAGTGGTTATATAGCCTCTCATTCTCCCACACCAAGCACTGCATGAAGCCTTCTAAATCAACAGAAGTATGAAGCCAATCATGGCCAAAACTCTACTTCCGTTGTTATTCCTATACGAAAATTTATAATGTTCATAATTACATCAAAGTAAAAATACTACATCATTAATCTTTAGTAAGTCCACATCAACTTTATTTTTTCCACCACAGAACTTAGTACATATTTAAAATAGTTAATTCATTCTCCAAGTTTCTCTAAAGATCTATGTTTTGAACCCATGAGTAATACAATAATACAAATATAAAACTGGTTTTCAAAAACATACTTGGATTAGCTGTTTCCAGTACCTACAAACAGTTTCTACGTTGCTATGCTCAAGTCTTGCTGCACGCTGAAGATCACAATCAATAAACTTGCAAAGGCAGAAAGGTAACCTCTATGGGAATTCTTGATTTTGCATATTTTTACGCTCTGTGAGGTTTTAAGTATGTATAGACAATTCCAAAAACTATCTGCTAACGCCAAAAACTATCTGCCAAAAACTAACTCAAAATGCATTGTTAGAAATATCTCGCATTGGCTCAGGCTTTTTAGCCATTGAGAAATCTTTACTTTCCTAGTCCCTAATTCAGCATGTTTGAGATGGTTCAGCTCTTAAATCTTCTAAGCCCCATCATTACAACCCCTCCCTGAGAGCTCATCCACGCTGGCAATTTAACTCATTCTTTCCTAAGGGCTGTCTAATCACCAATTCCTTATATCTAACTCCCTATGACTTACCACCATTTAGACACCAACCTGAAATAATGATGGCTACATACAAAACTGAATTCACTTCCTCCCTTAAGGTGCACTTCCTCCCTATGTTGCTATTTCCTGGGCTATACTGCTACTTCTGCACTCACCCTGGCTCAGCGTTCGTGTACTGCATGGACAGAGTAGTAGACACAAGGTCAGAGAGACTCAGCTACTTGACCAGTTGTGTGAGCAGTTTTGACAAGTTATTTAACTTTTCTGAACTTCAGTTTCTTTGTTATTTCAATGGCTGAATAAAATCATGAATACGCCTACTATATTCATAGGAGATACTCAACAGCTGACAGCTCCTTATGAATCTTCACAGCCCATCACGAACTCCTATTCATCTTTCCTTCATATTAAACTCAAATTTGGCTCCTCTTCCCTATTTTCAATTAATCCAGTCAAATTATCAGGTTCCTGGATTCCTGAGAAGGTTTAACAACCTTACCTCTGCTATCTTCTGCTTTTTATTACATGACTTACATAGTCTTATTTACTAAGTATATTTGCTTACTTATCTTACATACTAATCTCATTGAGCCTCCAGCTCCAAAACTTACACAGACAACTCCCCATTGCCTACAATATAAATTGCTTAGACTGGAAGACCTTAATCCTACCTCCCTTCCAATTACTGCCCCTCAGAGAGCTACTAACTGTATGACTATGGTCAAGTTACTTATCCTTTTTTTTTTTTTTGTGGTGAGGAAGATTAGCCCTGAGTGCACATCTGTTGCCAATCCTCTTCTTTTTGCTGAGGAAGATTGGCCCTGGGCTAACATCATGCCCATCCTCCTCTACTTTATATGTGGGACGCCTGCCACAGCACGGCTTGATAAGCAATGCATAGGTCCGCGTCTGGGATCCGAAGCTGTGAACCCTGGGCCGCCAAAGTGGAGTGCACGAACTTAACCGCTATGCCACCAGGCCAGCCCCCTATCCTCTCTTTCCTTGTCAAACTCTACCTCTCAGAGTTAAGATTAAACAAGAATAGACTTAGAACACTGGCAGGCACATAGTATTTTCTCAGTTGGAGGCAGAGTTATGCATAGCTAATGAAGCTTACTTAATCTTCAGCACAGCTCACTAGAAGAGACCCCTTCCAAAGTGACAGAAGGAGCCCCAGCAATTGTGTGTCCATAATTTTATATTATTTTCTTACAGAGGACTCAGTAAATTACTTAAGCCTCAGGACCCTCTTATCAGTAAATGTCAGCTCCTATTACCACACCTAGAAGGCAGATTTTTGCCTTTCTCTACCCTCATGATGTTCCCTCACTCTTCCCCATTTAACAAATACAGACAATACATTAGATACTGCAGGAGAATCAAAGACTCCTGCTCCCAATACTCCAGCAAGCATAAATTCAAGAGAAAAAAAAATACATTTAGAGTAAGAGTCAGAAGCAAGTTACAAATAAAATGCTATGGGAATTCAAGGGAAGAAGATCTGAAATGGTTGGCGAAATAACAAAAGGCTTCACAGAAAGAACAGTATTTGAGATGCACTCTAACGATGGCCAAAATTTCAGCCAACAGTTAAGCGTATGGGGAAATAGAAGATAAGGTAAACCTTGAAGGATGGAGGGATTCCGAAGAAGCTGGATGAGATTTATTTTATCCAGGTTTAGTTGCTCTCAAGTCCTAGCAAGGCGTGAATCTTCTCCTATCCAGGATCCATCTTGATATTTGTTATAACCACCTAGAATTATTGTCTATCCAGTATTTTTGAAACCTATGTGCTTAAGAAGCAATTCTATAGAAAATATGTTTCAGAAGTAATTCCATGTATTTTGGATTACCATATGGAAAAAACCTTAGACTGGTGTATTTCTTTTTTAAAAAATTTTATTTATTTATTTGTTTTTTTGAGGAAGATTAGCCCTGAGCTAACATATGTTGCCAATCTTCCTCCTTTTTTCCCCCCAAAGCCCCAGTAGATAGTTGTATGTCATAGTTGTACATCCTTCTAGTGGCTCTATGTGGGACGCCGCCTCAGGATGGCTTGATGAGCAGTGCGTAGGTCCACACCCAGGATCTGAACCGGCGAACCCCTGGGCCGCAGCCAAAGCAGAATGCGTGAACTTAACCACCACGCCACCCAGCTGGTACCTGGACTGGTATATTTCTTCTTCTTTTTTTTTTTTTTGTGAGGAAGGTCAGCCCTGAGCTAACATCCATGCCAATCCTCCTCTTTTTGCTGAGGAAGACTGGCCCTGAGCTAACATCTATTGCCAATCCTCTTCCTTTTTTCCCCCAAAGCCCCAGTAGATAGGTGTACGTCATAGTTGCACATCCTTCTAGTTGCTGTATGTGGGACGCAGCCTCAGCATGGCCGGAGAAGCGGTGCGTCGGTGTGCGCCCGGGATCCGAACCCGGGCTGCCAGTAGCGGAGCACGCGCACTTAACCGCCAAGCCACGGGGCCAGCCCCTACACTGGTATATTTCTAATAGAAGTTTACTCCCTCCTCAAAATATATATGCACTTTAAATTTGAAAACACGTATTCAATATAAAATACTCGATTAAAAAGCTTCCAGGAAACATTATATATAACCATAAATTGTTAAATTTCAGGGAAATTTCCTTCATAGCGATTAACAAGAATAATACCAAAACCTATATTCCTGTTGCTTCTACATATGCAGCAACATTGAAGTTACTTACCTACCATAGAAGTGGCCCAATACTACATTTTTGTGCATTTAAATATCAAGGAGACAGTCTTCCACTTTTTGTCATACAATATACCTACTACACTGCTCTGCACACAGTGAATACTCAGAGCACCGGTGCTCTTTCCACCAGTCACTCCAATCCTCCCCCCACTCCCCCAAAACTGATGGTCAATAGGTCAAATGTACAGCTTGTTTTGTAAAATATTTAACGTCACCACAATACTAATTTGGAAGTCTGCTTTTCATTTATTGAGAAAAGTGATGAAACTACCAGAATCACTGAGAAGCAAAGAACCCATTACAAAACAATTCCATCTGAAAATGCATACCTATATTACACAATGCGTTCAATACAGATTTCTAAATTACAAGATATATTTAATCTAAAGAAATCCTAGGGAACTTCACTTTACTGAAAACTTTTCATGGAAATTCCAATAATGATCACAATACCAACACACACCATAATTTTTCTGCTATGCAAATAAAAGTTAGCACTTGCAAGCCTTAGTTCTGACATCTCATGCCTTTCTTAGGCTCTTTCTCACCAGCCTTCTGAAGACAATATAACGCCTAATATGAAACAATTCCACAAACGATGACCAAATGCCTAGCCAACGCATGTATACTGGGAACAGGGTGATTTCTTAATAGCCAGTGGCTGCACATGACCTAGTATCTTATGACCAACCAGCTTGTTGAAGGACTGGCCGCAGCTCCCCCTCTCCAAGTTAAATGCTAGCTCCAGCCATTTCTAAAAGTTTAACAGGAAGGGAGAAGGAAGTAAAAAAGACAATGTGAACCTTCTGATAGCAAAAACTTAAAAAGAAAAAAAAAAAACCCAAAACCAAAAAACTCTCCAAGAAAAATAAAAGATCACCCACTTTCTCTCTTAAAAAAGGCCTCATCTATTTTAACTTAGCCTTCAAGTCCTACAAGTGACTATCTGCATTGCTAAAATTTTGAAAAAGGGAGTTTTAAAAAATACAGCAAAAGTAAGATGTCTTTTCCTTACACTGGTCCTCTGACTGCAAGAATATTTTAACTAAAATTAATACTAAATAACGCTCTTCTTCCTCGACTAAAGGTCGGTCTCCTTCTGACATGTTCCAAGTCACTATGAATATTTCTTGTACCTATCATGTGCTGATTCAACAGTTCTTTTCTGAACTGGGGTCAAGGATGAGGGGAAAAGTACACAGGTCCTCCTCAGTGAGATGTCTCACCCCATCTAACCTGGCACAGTTCACCACCTCCGATTTCAGCACCAAGCCGGGCTGCTCCTGCTTCTGTCTAAACAGCCGCGGCCGCAGAACCCTCAACCTCCCTCTGTTCGGCATCTCCCGGCTACCCCCGTTTGAGGTCCGACTGGCATCACTCCCATACCCAGCTGTTCAGACACCGCTCTTGTCCGTCCTGGATTCCTACACCCGGGACAGCTGGCGCCCTGGGTCCCAAGTCGCGGTCGCATCTCGTTCCCAAACTGGAGCCGGGGCTGGGACACGTCTTCCCCGGTGCCCGGCCGCCGAGCCAGGGCAGGCGAGGACGACAGTCCCCTTCCCCCGCACCCCACGTCCCCCTGGCCCGGGCCCGGCCGCGGCGGCCCTCCGCCCCGCACCCCGGCACATTCCGCAGCCCCCGCCCGGACGGCCCGCGCCTCTCGCCCAGCCCCACCCCACGCCCTCAGCGGCCCGGCTCCCTCACGGCAGGTGAGTCCGGGCCGTGGGCCCTTGGCCGCCGGGGTGCTCACCTTACTGAGGACCCCGCAGCGCTCCACCGGCAGCCTGGACTCCGTCTCCGGGTCCTCCTCCGAGCCCGACGAGTTCCAGCTCTGGTTATCCGACATGGAGGCGCGACAGCCGAGCAGGAGCCCGGCCCCCGCTCCCTGCGCTGCGCCGGAGGAGGCGCCCAGTGCCCGGGGTGAAGGGTCGGGGGATGGCGAAGGCAGGGGAGCGCGCTCCGGCGCGGGGGGGAGCGGCAGGAGGGACGAAGTCCGCCCGCCGCGCCTGACACCGAGCGGACCGGGGAAGGAGGACGCGCGGCGAGGGAAGCCCGCCCTTCCAGCCGTCAGCCGCCGCCGCCGCCGTGACCCCCGCGCTGCGCCCGGCGCGGCCGCCCGAACTCAGCCCCCTCGATGCCAAGCTCAGCCAGAAAAACACGGGAGGAAGACGGACGAGGAAATCCAGCCGCAGACCCGAGGCCACTCAGACCTCCGCTACGCCGCCATCTTCCTGCCTGGCCCACTATTTACCCTCCCCTCCGCTCTGCCCTCCCCTCTCGCCCGGGCCCCGCCCCGGCCCCTCCCGACGTCTGACGCGGCACGCCGAGGCTCGGGATCTCCGCCCGCGCCTGCCTCCGGCCCTCCCGGGTGACGCGGCTAGACGAGGGGGAGGAGCGGAGAGAGGAGGAGGAGGGACGGGGACGCCGTCGCGCTGCATTTTGGGAAGGTCGCTGCTCCGTCGGCCGCGCAGCCTCCCGGGAGTTGTAGTCGCGATCCTGAGGCAACGGGTGAGTGCTCCGCGCCGGGAAGGCTTGTCGCGTTGGGGGCGGTCAGGCAGTGGCTGGGCTTCGTGTGACAGTTGCGTGACCCGTCCCCTCGGCCGCGCTTTTATCTCTGCCGAGCCTCTTTGTGACGAACCCCCTGGGCTTGCGGGCCCGGACGTGGTAACTCTCCGCTGAGGATGGCGGGCCTGCCTCCATGACGGCTTCCCGAAAGCCCGGGAGCATCTTCCCGCTCGCCCAGGCGGGAGTGTACCCGGCGCATCCGCCTCGGCCGCGGGCCAGGGGTTTGCCACCTCTCTGGTGACACGGGAGTTCCTTTCCGCCCAAACTCCTCTGCCAATTTCGGAGGGCTTCCACCTTGCTCTTTGGAAGTGAGTCTTCACGCTTGACGTTTCCCGCTTTTGAAGGAAGCGTGCTCAGTCCCGTCGCACCAGAGCAAGCCCTTCTCGTTGTTAGATTTTCGGTTTTTGTTTTGTGGAAAGTCATTTTGAAGATGTCTGAGAATAAATGACGCTTGAGGAGCTTTTAAAGTAAAATGAGAATGTGAGATGAAAGCCTGGAGTTTTCTCTGAGTTGTGGGTGAGGATCTTCCTGAGCCCCAGGTTAACCATCTCTACCGACCCGCCTCTCTCTGAAAGACGGGAAAGGTTGGAATAGAAACTCTCTTGTGTAGAAAAGATCCAAGTGCAGTAGTCGTATTGCATAGGAAGGGATTAGGCAATAGGAGGCTGGCTTTGTTTTAGGACCAGAATTAGTGGAAGGACCAGTAAAAGAACTAACGTCTCGTCTAGTCTTTTTGCATACGTTTAAGGATAACTTTTATTGTGAGATCTTGAGCTATGTAGCTTCAGTTCTTTTCTCTCGTTTGCTATTTTTACATCTTGTTAATTTCCTAATCATTACCAACAGTAAAATTCCTGGTTAAACCTTAGAAAGAATACCTGCTTACTGCAGGGACGGGAGGATAGCAGTGAAATTACGAGCCTAGGGGAAAAGGCACAGTGGCCAGAAGTAACTCTGGTAGCGATAGTGGCCAATTTAACTGGGATCTTTAGCAAAAAACGGAATGATGGGAAGTGCCTCTGAGAAATATCTAAGGTATCTTTCAGTCCCCTAGATTGACACTTATAGATGCTGAATCTATGTAAATAAGTTACAAATTTTGTCCATTGTGAAATCAAGGGATAATAATTGAAAGCCATTCAGGTGAATAAAACCTTGAGATAAAGCTTTTGAAAATACTGTATTAACGTGTTAATTAAAACATAATCCCAAGGTTGTCATTCAAAAGACAAAAAAGAAAATCCACAGCACATCTTTTCCTCTTTATTGAGTTACTAAATTATACCTTTAGAATGTTGAATACTGAAGCAATTAAGTTTTGTTTTGCCTTCCGATTACCTAATATAGTTAGACTTCCTATTTCTGGATCTTTTAAGCTCTAAGTTTTAAAATGTCATTAGTCTTATTAAATGGTTGTGAATTGTTGAGATATCCACTTCATAATGCAGTTTAGAATCGTGGGAGCATAGTATATGTTTATTTTTAAATTGGACTTTCTGTTGTGTGCATTTCTAAGTTGTGTGTGGTTGTAACCACCAACACGTAGCTCACTAAGGTGCCCACTTAGTAGGAAATTGTTTCATTGTATTTAATATTAATATGAGAGAAAATTTCCTTTTTAAAAAAGATTTTTGCCACGTTGTTCCTCTATACTTATAAGATTATTAAAAAATTTTTTTTAAGTACAGAAGGATTTTTGTATACTGATTAGAATACCACATTAGAGGTTGGGATTCTCTTCATTTCTGTTGAAGGGAAGAAATTGCAGTACAAGAATAAAAAAACGTGAGCTTGCTTTCTGTTCTCTGGTGAGAGGGATACCTTCTGAGATTTCTCTCTTACTTAGAGCTTTCCCCAACCCTCTTATGAATGTTCTGTATTTTCTCTTTTAGTAATTTTTTTTTTTTTTACTTTTAGAACTTGAACCCACCTGGGATTTATTTTTGTATATGGAATGAGGTAGGAATTTAATTGTTACTTAAGGACAGCCACTTGGGCCAACACTTCATTGAATAGTCTGTTCTTACCCTTATATCTATGTGATATTCAGGTCTGTTTCTGGACTCCATTCTTTTTCATTGATCTATTTGTCTACCTATGCTAATACCATACTGATTTAATTACTTGACTTTACACTGTTTTCATATATATAATAGCAAAATTCTGCTAATGTTCTTTTTCATTTGGATATTTTTGTGTATCTTCTCTTCCAGGTTAATTTTAGAACAGCTTGTCAAATTGCGTGAAAAATTCTATGGGGATTTGGATTGAGAATGCACTTAATTTGTAAAGAAAATGACATCTTTACAATTTTAAGTCTTAGCCTGGGTCAGGCGTTTTACATTCCTGATCTGACTTTTTCCTTACAAACTATATAAGTTTGGCCTCATTTTAAGGATACTGCAGGGCCAGCCCCGTGGCTTAGTGGTTAAGTGCGCAAGCTCCGCTGCTGGCGGCCCGGGTCTGGATCCCGGGCGTGCACCGACACACCGCTTCTCCGGCCGTGCTGAGGCCACATCCCACATACAGCAACTAGAAGGATGTACAGCTATGACATACAACTATCTACTGGGGCTTGGCGGGGGGGCGTTTAAAAAATAAGGATAATGCAGCTGAAGCTCAGGGAGGCTAAGTTACCCAATGTTGTATAGCTGCTAAGTGGCAGAGTTAGGATTTGAACACAGACCTATCTGATTTCAGAGATCATACGCTTTTCTTTGCTTCAGAATACCTCTCAAAGTGGGAAGAATTGTGTAAATAAATAATATATCCTGTAGATAAGTATATCAGAGCAACTATGCTCTTAATTCAGCTAATGATTTTGAAAATCTTTCCTTTATCCAGCTCTTACATCTATGCTGTCTTATTTAACTCCAATGTAGAATTTATTATTTCTATTCTGTTTCTATTTCTTATATTTCACATGAATAAACTGAACCACAGAGAAGTTAAATAACTTTCCAAAGGTCATACAGCTAGTAAAAAGCATAGTTGTAGTTTGAGCCCAAGTATCCTGTTTCCAGCCTTCTCATCCCACTAGAGTTCTTCAATTCCTCTTTCTCCCTGTTTTCCACCTTATCTCATTCTCCCAGCTTTTATCTCCACTAAACACCAATCCCAAAGACTTCATCCCTGCCTTCCACTCCCACTGGCAAAACACAGAAGCCAGAAGACACTGAGGTATTGGAACTGAGACTCTTTGCAATTTTACTGATTAACAGATAGAGGAATGAGGGGAAATATTTGTTCTCAATTCTGTAACTGTAACAGGAGAGGATGTCCCACATTGAAACTGAAAAGATTGTCTAATTTTTAGAAATGGTGCTGTAAAGAGCCTTTATTGGTCAGCTCAGGTTGCCATAACAGAATACACAGACTGGGTAGCTCTAGTCCCGCTTCCTCTTTTTTTTTTTTTTTTTTTTTTGTGGGGAAGATCAGCCCTGAGCTAACATCCATACTAATCCTCCTCTTTTGCTGAGGAAGACCGGCTCTGAGCTAATATCTATTGCCTCCTCCTCCTTTTTCCTCCCAAAGCCCCAGTAGATAGTTGTATGTCATAGGTGCACATCCTTCTAGTTGCTGTATGTGGGACGCGGGCTCAGCATGGCCGGAGAAGCGGTGTGTCAGTGCGCGCCCGGGATCTGAACCCGGGCCACCAGTAGTGGAGTGCGCGCACTTAACCACTAAGCCACAGGGCCGGCCCACCTCTTCCTCTTCTTATAAGAACCCCACACTTATGACTTTACTTAACCTTAATTACCTCTTTATAGGCCTTATCTCCAAATACAGTCACGTTGGAAGTTAGGACTTCAAATATGAATTTTGGAGGGACACAGTGTAGTCCATAACAGAGCTTATAGGTTCTATATTCCCACAGTATGTATTAAAGATGCTTTTTGAGTTATAGTTCTTTTTAGCTAACCTAGGAATTTAACTGTTTTTTATAATGCTGTTCCAAACTGAAACATAAACAGTTAAAAATTAGGGATTTATGTAAGAAACATGGTTTTGCAAATTTAGAAATAGAGATATTAATCTATGAAATAGAGGTAATGATCTATGAAGAGCAACAGTCTAAAAATTACAAGACGAACAAAATACAACATATGAATAACAGCTGGGTTTTTTTTTCCTATTTTAATGTCTTGAATAATTATCTGTGTGGTGAAATTATGGACCACTTGAATTTTCTTCTTTGTACTATTTTGTAGGAGAAAAATATATCTATATAGGTGTGAGTATGTGTGTACATGTGTATATGTAAATGTATCACTTTTGTAATAGAAGAAAAGGTAATTATAAGTGATACAGATTAGTTAAGGATCAGTTAGTCTCTTCACATTCAGAGTCTTCTAAATTAATTTTCAATTTAGAGTTGTTGATGTCCCTGTTTTTACATATTTTCTTCTTCACCATCAAGAGAATTGATGATTGCAACATTCCTTAAGAAGGCCCCATCATTGTCTTCAGAGTTTTTTCCCCCAAGCTGCTGAGACCTGTTCTTCATGTTTTGATGCATAGGTAATGACAATTATGTCACAACTGCTGTCTCACTCATGAGGATTATGTGAGGCATCTCAATTTTAGAGATGTTAAAATGTGGAAAAAATGTGTCTTTGAAGCAATGAAATATGGGACTTGCTTTTCTTTTTTATGCATGTCCCCTCATTTTTTTCCTGAGAGCACTATTTATGATTTTCAGAATAGAAACACAT